AGATATTTATAAACTGAAATAGACGCGAAAAGTACGCGATGTCGTCGACGACATACTCGACCACAAAGAGTTAAAAGCATATAACTAAGATCGGTGGATCTCATGGGGATATGGTCGATTTCTGATCCCCTCAAATTAACGTGATCGAGGCCGATCGATCGGTGCGCCGATCGAGGCCGATCGATCGGTGCGCCGATCGATCGGTGCACCCCTAAACTAAATATAAAATATAACAATTTAGAAGCCATAAGAAAAATAAGGCAAAATTAGCGTGACAATTGTTTAACATGAATTAAAGATTTATTGTTTATTTGCATCCCTTAAAATTCCAAGCTGATTCTGTCCTAAGAATTCTGGATCCTTCTCATTTGTAGCTAGTATACTTTTACTGGATAAGAAAAACAGATAAATCCAAAGTTACATCATCATTTTTCTTTTACTCCCTCCATTGCGTAGCTTACTCACTTTTGTGACCATGTCACTCGTGTTCTCTGTAGGCGCATTCCAGAAGCATGTTTGTCTTCTCCATCACCCTTAATTTCTGCATTCTTTCTTTAGTTCATTCATCTCCTGACTCCCCCATATATTACATTGGTGATCCGTTCAACATCAGCTGCTCTCTGGTTGACACTGAAATGAGCTCTGACTTGACCATCAATTGGATAGTGCCGGAGAAATCATCAATAAAGGATACCCTGCCAGACCCCTCCCCGGCTGTGCTGTCCATCCCCCAGGCAACAGAGAAAGACAAAGGGAGGTGGAGGTGCAATCTGAAGGAGAAGAAAACAATACTAGTCTGGGCAGAATTGAATCTGAAAATCGGTAAGCAGAGAGGCACAGGATACCTGGGGCTGACGGATGAGAGCTACGGGGTTATTGGGAGAGTGGGGGGCCTGAGGCAGGAGGGACAGCGGATGGAGGGCGTTGGGGCCGCACAGTGATTCAGATTCCTTCTGCCTTGCAGAGAGCCGCCCTGTGAACGTGGTTCTGTGCCTGTCCCTCTGCGGAGCAGGCATCCTCATCATCTTCATCATCATGGCCATTCTGAAGCTGAGACAGGTACACCCCCCTGGCAATGGGTCCCTTGCTGGTGACAGAGTGGGACCAGGAGTCTCATACGGGGGCGGGGGGGCATCTTATCCACCATGTGCAGTGGTCATGACACACCTGCTGTTTGCTTACCCATGTTTCTGTCCTTCTGCTGTGATCCAGAGGGTCCATTGCAGGAGGAGACCCAAGAAGAAGTACTGCCGCTGCAAAAAGTCAGTAACCCCCCCCCCCTTTGTGTGCTATACTGTAAATCCTGTCTTTACTATCATCTCAGAACTTTCGCCTTAAAAATATTTTTAACTGATAGAGCTTACATTAATTTATTAGCAGACATTTCTTTTCCAAAACAACATACAGTTGAGAAAGCAAGGTCAGACAGTCCTTGGTGCAGTTGGAGTTAAGGGCCTTGAATGATAAAATCATTCTGCTGGCCCTGGGATTTGAACCAGCAACCTTCCAACCCCAGGCACAGCACCCTACCTTGCTGAGCCACAAACTGCCCCCTTGAGTATGTGTTCAGAAGGTATACGTGTTTAAATAATATATATTGCACAGGTTAAGCGGCCTCACGCTTGTAGGGTTAAGGATTTGAATCCCACTTCCGACTTCCTGTTTGGGGTTTGCATGTTCTCCCCCCCACAGCCCAATAACACACAATGAGACGACTTGGTGACTGTAGATTGTCGATAGTGAGTGCCTGAGGCGTGTCGCCGTACCCAGGCCGTCTTGCGCCTTATGCCCTGACCTTCTTGGGAAGGTGGTTGCAAGATGGTGAAAGTTACACTCCATGTGTTATCGGTTGTTATTCTTCATTCTCTTGTGGTTTCCCCTCACATTTTGCTTTTTTCATTGCTGACAGTGGCTGCAGAACATTCTTGTACCTTAAATACTCTTCTCACATGTACCTGCTCCTAATTTTCTACCCCTTCCATTCCAGTCCCCAGGTGAAGGGATTTTATAAGACCTGAGCAACGATGAAACCTGGAAAGCAGTACTACATTCTGACACGTTTTTATTTCATGATAACTTGTATATATGTTTATATGTAACTTGGATAAATACCACATCCCTTTCTGCATAAGAGATTGATGGATTTTATAAGCACCCAGCAACTTTTCATGCATTGGAAATATATGTATATGTATAAATAATTAATTTGGGTTTTTTTTTGTATTTTTCTCTGTTATTGTGAGTAAAATTTTACCAAAAAATACTTCACTAGAGGCCTGTTATCCTTATTTATCAATATGTCCAAAAATTAGGAATACTCACTTGTGAAAAATATTTTTAAAAGCATCCCCTTAACTAAAAAAATTCTCTCTTTTCCAAGATTTATAACTCAAACTCCAGAACTGAATTTTTTTTAAGGATGGCCCTGTAAACACCTGTATAAGCTCCTCCGACTTTTCCACTTTTCTGATCTCTGATGCTACCAGCTGAGCACTTGAAGTTTAATTCTCCTCTCCTTGCATATGGTAAATTCTGTGAATACATTACAACTGCTGATAGTGATTTTTGTCTGTTTAACCAAACTGAGTCTATCTCCCATTTCATAACTTGGGAATCACTCGCATGTTATTTGAGAGGTCAGATAATTTCATAGAAAGCTTACTGAACTTGCAGTCACCACCGAAGAAGTTGATCAACATCACACAGTTAGTCCAACTCTTGTATTTTATAAGTAGCATCTTAACTTACAAACACAGAGCCTTCAGAAATGAATTCCACATTTAAATCCTTCTATTCTTCATGGTAAAACCTGAATTTCCTGCAGATAATGAGAAAATGAACCATGTTGGGTTAGGGTAGCACTGCTACACAGACGTGAGAGTTTAACGCTGGCAGAGATGGACAAGTCTCCGGTCAAAGAACCTGGCTCCAGATGGGATGACTTTAAGGCAGAATGTATTAAATGGAACTTGTGAGTCAGGAAGTACAATGGGTAATAGAAGCAAATAGTAGTAATAAGCCAGGTATGTAGATGGATGTGTGGTATATTAATTGACGCACAACATCAGGTAAACCAGCACACAATGTGTTAATTTTGTTTGTGCAAATCTATGACCTGTTATTGCAAACATTGTTGCAGGTGAAATATGCCTAAATGTATGAACAGTCTACTATTATGTGAAAAACGTAGCCTGTTTTAACTGTTAAATGTTGAACAAAGCTCATTTGTTGAGGCTACAGGTCTATCTTTACTCTTCACCTGAAAATAAGCAGTCAAATGAAAAGTATTTTCTTTTGTATCTGGCAGCACAGCAAAATATTGTGGTATCTGCCAGACCCAGACATGATGCAATGATGAGCTGACATGAAGTGCTTGTTTTTTGGTAGTCTAACAGGATTCAAAACTGCGTAGGCACAAACAAAACTCACTCACACATAAAGCATGCGAGAATTACAGTACCTCTGTAAGGTTACCTTCCAACTGGGAAACAGAGGGGAGGTCATTGCACAAACAGTGGGAATTGCACATGGTAGGTAATCTACATGCAGTTAAGCACGTGGGGATCGAGCATAAAACTAAACAGAACACAAGTACAGGGACCCATGACACACAGAACAAGGCACATGAACTACATACATGACATAGACAGGGGGTATTTACACAAGCAGTGTGTTGCACTGATAAATATGCAGATTGCAAATGGTCGCCGCTTGGCTCACCAACACGACACAACCCACTCCTCAAGGGTCAGCCATCCAGGCATCCCATCCTGGTGCAGTGGGGTAGTGTGAGTCTTGTGCACACCCAGCAGCCGGCAGACTTCCACCATGACAGCAGACTCAAAATTGTGACCTTGTCGCTATGGATCTCTTCTGGGGCCCGAACCTGGAAAAGAAGTCATCCATCAGCTTGGTGGCAGTTACCGTGGAACTGTCTTATGGCAACACATACGCCTCTGGCCACTTGTAAAGTAGTCCATTACCACAAGGACATACTGGTTGCCAGAGTCAGTGGTAGAAAAGTGGTCCAGGAAGTCCATGGTGACATACTCAATGGGTCTGCTGGACTGCATAGACTAGAGATGTGCCTGGGAGTGGTCATGGGGGCCCTTGCGCATTGTGCAGGTGTCGTAGCAGTGGACATGTAGCCTCATGTCCAGGTGGTAGCCTAACCAGTGGAACCACTGCACCAGCCTGTGCAGGGTTTTAGTGATGCCGAATTACCCCACCCTGGGGCCCATGCACTCTCCACAGCACTGCCTCCCTGAGCAACTCAGGGACCAGTAGTTGCTACACAACCTGCTCCAGCACAGGGCCCTGCCAGTGTCAATACAACAGCCTATCATGGAGGGCCAGGTTGTCTTATTGGGAGCAGTATGCTCTCATGGCTGTGCTGAGGGATCTCAGCTCTGACCACTCTGGTTTCCCACCTCGCTGGAGTCAGCCCAGCAGACAGGCCAGGATCAGATTCTTAGCCTGTGCCTCCATTAGCTCCTTCTGGTGGAAGGCCAGGTGCCCCTCAGGCTGCAACGGTTTGGTCAGACGCCACACTCCTCACCTCCTCCAGCACCACTCCCCACTGAGCTGCCCCTGGGTCTATGTTGGCATCTGTCGGTTGGTCTGGCATCAGGGTGCTTACCAGTGCTGGTCCAGGAGTCTCCACTGCTCCCAAGGTCTCCCCTGGTCCAGACCCCATCAGCTGCCTCACCTCTAGCCACCCACAGTGCCCACAGCCGCCTCTGCAGGGACACTATGACAGAGCATCTGCATTACCGTGCAGCCAGCCCTGCCAGTGCTGGACCTGAAGCTCTGTTTCTCCAGCCATCTTGCCACCTGCCCCTCAGGCTCCTTGAAGCTCATGAGCCAGGTGAGTGAGGCATGGTCAGTTCTGAGGAGGAACTGGTTGCCATAGACATATGGCTTGAACCGGGGAGGGCATGCCAGGACTGGAGCAGAGACAGGCACAGTCTGCAATCAGTCAAAGGCTGCCTACTCATTGGGACCTCCCTGGAAGGCAACTTCCTTCCTACTGGTGCAGAGGGGCAGTGATGTCGGTGAAGGCCCAGATTAACCTTCTGTATTAGGAGGCCAGGCCCCAAAAGCTCAGCAGCTCCTCAACAGAGTGCAAAATTAGCTAGGTCTCCACTGCCCTCACCTTGTCTGGTCCATTGCCAAGCCTCTCTCACCGACAACATGGCCCTACTGACAGACTGGAGCAGGAGGCGGCACTTGGTGGGACTGTACCGCAAATTCGCCTGCCAGATGGACCTGAACACTTGCCGCAATTTGGCTGCTGTGTCGCCGAAGTTGGGGGTGTGGACGAGCACGCCATCCAAGTAGATGATGCAGCGGCTCTCTGGTATCCCCTCAAGCATCCACTCCAACACAGGGGTGTTACAGAGCCCAAAAGGGAGAACCTGTCCCACCCCAGGCTGAAGGCTGTCTTCTCATAGACCTCCAAGGACAACTCCACCTACTAGTAGCTGATGCAGAGATCCAGCAAACTGCACCACCGCAAGTTGGCTAAGGTATCAAGGGTATCGTCAATACAGGGCAGGGTGCAGTCTTCATCATGGGCATTGAAGATGTCAGCATACTCCTCCAGCAGTGATTGCAGCTGATCCCTCTCCCGCTTGTCGAGACCCTCACTACTCCATTGGTACAGGGACTTGATCACCTCCACTGTCACTTCCTGGGTGACTGGGGCTTGGAGAAGGGCTGTCACAGGATTCAGAGCCAGGGCAAGCCAGAACTTGTGGGAGGCAAGCTTGCATCCCAGCTCGATCTGGAGTTTGCAACGACCTTGCACAGGGATAGTCTCCCCCATCACTGAGTGCAGCTGGGCGGTGGCAGTTCTCCAGTCCAAGAGAGCGGGCCCCTCTGTCCTTGGCAGAAGGCCTGCCCTCACTGTGGAGATCGTGGAGCCACTGTCTATTTGGGCACAGAAGGCCACCCCATTGATGTTACAGGGCTGGAAGAGGCTTCTCAGGTTGCCAAGCCATCCGACGGGTAGATTTTTGGGGTGGAGCCACTGACCTGAAGGGTTCTGAGGGGGTTGGGGCGATGCCTCCCTCACTGTGTCATTCCTGTCATTTCTCAATGACCTAGCAGGCTCGGGGAAGGAGCAAGTCCAGTGGCCCTCAGATGATCTATGCATTGCTGGGGCGATGGTCGCTATCCTGCAGAGCCGCTGAGTGCACTACAGCATCTTCAAGAGGTGATGCACTAAAGATCACCTCCATCCTCTCCGCCTCTTTAAGTGCCTGCTTTAAGCTAGCCCATACTAACAGCTGCACTTGCTGTTGTAGGTGGTCTGGTAGGATAGCCGAGAGGAAGGCCTGCAGTACCAAAGGGAAGTCAGGATATGTCTGACAGACTGATGCCAGTGGCTAAGGACTCCAAGCCACTCCCCTCTCTACCACCTCCAGGTGCCAAAAAGCAATACCAGGCTAAGGTGGACGCCCAAGGTTGAGAGAAAGTTGGATCATCCTTCAAATCCTAATTCTGGCATCATTGTGGTATCTACCAGACTCAGACATAATACAGTGAGAAAGCTCTAAGGTGATACTGCTTGCTTTTTAGTCATACATAACAATACTGAAAACTGCAGCACTGTATGCGAGAATGAGAATACCTCCACGAGGATAGCAGTGAGAAGCAGAGGGGAGGTGACTGCCCAAACAGTGGGAACTACACATGGTGGGTAGTCTACACGCAGTTAAACACGTGGGGATCGAGCACGAAACTAAACAGTACAGGGACACATGACATATGGAACAAAGCACATTAACTACATACATGACACAGACACAGGCTAATTACATGAGCAGCGTGGTGTGCTGGGAAATACGCAAACTGACTGGTTGGCACTTGGCTCACCGATGCCGGTAATATTTTACAAAATGTCTAATTATTTTACAGTTAACATCTGCCACAAAGCCATACAATAAATGAACCGTAAATGTAATGCAGCTCCACTGGCTGAAGATCCTGAGACCATTATGACATTGATTTCTTAAAATAGTTTGCCGTACACATTAATGAACTTTCATATTATAACCTTTCATTTTTACATTTTTTGCATGTTTGTGCACAGCAACGCGTTCCTGTGCACGCACCTATGTAGGCGTGTGTTACTGTCTTGATAATCCACCTTTTATAAAGCGCCATTGACTTTAGACCAGGTTTTTGTTAGTCGATACTGCATTTGTTTTATGCCCTCTCAAGATAGCAATGCTCCAAAACTGCACCAGACTCCATCTCATTTTAAGACTGACACGCCAACAGATGCTCAGATGAGTGCAAGTACATTTGCTATTTAAAACTTCCATCCATCCATCCACGCATTTCCTATAACCGCTTGTCCTGTTCAGTGTCACAGGGGGTCCGGAGCCTATCCTGGAGGCTACAGGAGAAAGGCAGGGAACAACCTAGGATGGGACGCCAAGTTCTCCAACCCATGGCAGTGCACACTAACACACCATTCACTCACATATGCACACTTACTGGCAATTTAGTAACTCCAATTAACCGCAACATGTTTTTGGACTGGGGGGGGGACAATGTACCCAGACGAAACCCTAAATGACACGGGCAGAGTATGTGTAGCCCCTCCCCGGCTGATGTCACCTCTATTTGGAGAAAATGAGCAGACAGAGACGTGGCTATTGCGTTCAGGTTGACCACAGTTTTATTCTGTCTATTTCAACAGATAAATTAATATGAAGAATACTCAAAGTCCATGTTTCACTCTCAAAACACCACACAGCCACAGTTAGCCGTTTACATTTTAAGTCAAGTCCATCTAAGCATATTTGATTAACTTTTTAACAATTGATTGTTTT